ACTTGTAGGTTATTTCACTATCATTTCATTTCAGGTTTATTGTTGCTTAATATAATTGTTATTTTCAACTATTCTTTTTTAATTATTCTTTTTTAGTTGTTTCAGGGATTTCAAATCATTTTATATAGTAGACAATGGAAGTCCGAACTAGTGAAATTCATAAACATATATTAGTAAACATCAAGAAAAAAGCATAACAGACAACATATGGTTACAAAGTTGAAAACATATTTGAACAACGAATAATTTAGTGAATATGAATAGTCCGAAAGTATAAAAAATTTCAATTATAATTCTCCTTATGAAATTAGGTTCAAATAGGTACATGGACAATGGAAAATGTTGTTGTACTACTATATTTCAGAATGTAATTATTATTCATGGTGATTTATTAGAATAATTAATTTATGTAATAATATGGTGCCATTAAAATTTGCATATTAATTTTGACTCGGAGGAAAATTTCCATGAGATATGAATGTCGCTGACCTACCTGTAACTGTAAACATCTGGTCATCTTTTGGGAATCCCAACTTATTTGATCCATCTGTAGAATATTCTACGTATGTCCAATAATAAATTATATCGCCCACTTTCAATTTGGTGGCTGTATCAACAAATGTCCATCTTCCATTTTTTGGTTTGAGTATGTCTCTAGAAAATGTCCCTGCTTCTCTTCCGATCATTTCTTCGTTTATCTTCCCATGGAAGGCGAACAGTTTGATACCTTCTTCATCTAAAAAATGAGGTGAGAATGATTAGTTTTCTGGTTCATAGTCTATATTGTATTATAAATGTGAAAGTTTGTCAGGATGGATGAATGTATGTATGTATGTTTGTGGCACTTTCACGCCTGAACGAATGAACGGATTTAGATGAAACTTTACATAAATACATCTTATACATCACAATAACAAATAGACTACAATTAACAAGAGTTTTGTATAATTTTGGTTGTAATATAACACTAATTATTGAGTAAGTCGTGAAAATTATTGTTCTCTGAGAGAACAATAATTATTGTTCTCACCTTGGCGTGCGCTGCCTATACCGTTGGAGTTACATGTGTATACCGTAAGATTGTTTATCTTAAATAGTTCTGAATAAAAGTATCTACCTCCTATGTGGTATCCACTATATCCAAAATACAGAGCCATAAATACAATTAAATTGAAGGAAACTTTTTTACAATGCACATTTTAGGATATCTGTCAAATTCTTATAAAAATGGATACAATTGTCGTCTTAAATATTTATTATACTTAGATAAACTTCCACACTTCCACACTTAGTAATTTGGACGAATTCTTTAAAAGTTATCACGATAAGATTAACAACGCAGTAAGCCATTACGCGTCGCGTCTACTGTAAGAGTTTGAAGATTGAATTGAATTTCGTCAGTTTTGAAGTTGGAAACCTGACGTTTTGGGTCGATAAAAAAATATTGCAACTATTTGTTCAAAATGGTCTGTCATGAAACTTAATGTGAGTAAAATTTTCCAGATTCTACCGTGTACTTTCCCCAAATGGATTTGAATTCGTTAGAGTTTTGTTTCATGAGGTTATTCTTTCCTTATCAGGGATTTGATTACGAGATAGAGCTGTTACTACTTCATTGTATGAACTATAAAACGTTATTTTGGTTATAGCATTATTTGAAATGATAATTTTTGGGACTTCAACTCTCGTTACCCGGTTGATATTCATGGTGAAAATCATTGCAAATTATTCTTATTTTATTTATGACAATATCGTCCGGTTAAACAAGTGTTCTATAATTTGAATATTCATTTTATCATTTTTTTCAGTACTTATCAATGCTCTCACAGTCATATAGACTCGTAAGGATTGGATACAAACTTACAGAAGACGTTCAAACTTCACTTCACTAACCAATAAAAGTATGGCATGTATACCAACGATAAATTTGCTTTGTCAATTACACAGTTTATGAGGTGACAGTTTCAGTATTTTATTTGGCTTTCCAGGAACCTCCAGTTCAAAATTTTTTCAGAACTCCGGTGTGAGGTTTGCAGTTTCCTAGAGAAGCTCACTAATATCCTTTTTTCCGTCTTTATCCTGTTTTTCCAATTGAAACCCGAGATCACTGCAAAAATATCAAATAAAGTCTAGTATAACTGATTTGTTCAACCTCCTGAGGTCTTTTCAGATTTTCTTGGAGCTTTGTTGTATCCAATTAGGAAATTTCTCAATCTCATTATGCCTCAGTTGCACTCCTGAATGTTTTTTTAGTTTGTTGCCTTCTCCATATCACACCTTCATTCCAGTTAGGAACAATCATCTGGCTAACTCTTGGACAATGTTCGTTCTGCGTGAAGATATAAAACTATATGAGATGTAAGACAGAGAAACTTCCTGGCTTTGCTTCACAGGTTCCTCAGTTTGTTTTTCGGAGGTGTTGATACGAACATCTTTCTTTATCAGATACAAACTTGTTTCGAACAAATAGTATCCTTACATCTTGTAATAGTATCCTTACATCTTGTAAGGATACTATATAGAGTATAGAGTAAATACTCATTTTCTTCATTGGTGTCAGTGATCCTCCAGGCCAGAGAACTCTCATTAGCTCTTTTACATTTCAGGTTGATGGCGGTTTGATACTATGGTAAAGGTCTGATAACGATTTCGTCAAGTTCACTAATCACCTTGACTTTGACCACTGTCAATTCCCTGGTATAGGGGTTACTCAACGGTAATATATTCAATTATTTTCGGATAGATATACATGTTTTCGAGATCTCTGAGGTTCTGTTGGGTGAATTAGCTCCCCTCGATCCCTCTAATTCCCATGATTTTTCACTGCCAGAGAAGTCCCTCACTGTGTTGTAGGTTTAATTCTACTAGTGAGAGGGGTCGTTTTGTTCATGCTTGAAATCTATTCAGTTACCATGAGTTTGAGAAAAGGAATTCCCACATCCATAGATACCTCTACATAGAAGACAGCTTGAGTGATTTGGAAAGTCATCTTGTATCTCAGAGGTATTGTTGCTGATACTTGATGATGCCCAGGTACCTTCATTCTTTGGTATGTGTCTCTCAACACTACTAGACTGTATCCTTTTTCAGGCAATTTCTAAATATCGTGGACTGATTGTAATATCAGTGCTGTACGTGGTAACAATTGGAGTTCAAAAATGTATATTTTGTGAAGTTATATTTTCAGGTCCTCTTCGTTAATTCCTTAGTATACATACAATTCTTATAATTACTATCAACATAGATTGGTTTTGAATTGTGAACAGATACTTTGTTGAGTTATTTTTATCGCAAATTATTCGACTTGCAAGCCGACATAACACCTACCTACACCAACGTTACAAATTGGTAAAGGGTAATCATCATTACTCAAAATTTATTTCTTCTCATTGATAATTTGAAGTTGATCGAAATAAAAATCTTTTTCCCCGGTGGTTTGACGCATATTCCATCAAAAGTTTTCTGATTTTGACCCTGCATCAAAAAACTGACTGGAGATTACATCAAACAAAACTATGTTTATTTTGTTTGATTATATCAATTCGATGTTGTGAAGTTATCTGAAATGACCGCTTGCTGGTAATAAAAAAGTTATTTCACAAGGTTAATCAACAACTCGAAATTAATATTTCACCAGGATGTATCATTACCAACGAATTAAACTAATTGACAAATACAACTGAAAAAAACACCCATTCAGGTAGTTGTTAGTGTCTTTTATGTGTAAAAAACTGGTTCATATTTTTCTTTGATTCGAAGTTGATGCATTTTTACCCTTTGTTTGTGAAATATCATGCTGCAACTTCTGTTCACCCATTTCAAGTATTTTACATGATTAAAATCTTCTGCACCACAATAACCTTTTTTGGAATCATTACCTCTTTGAGCATTCGTTACTATTTGTTCAAAAACTATTTTTTCAAATACCAAAAATTTCACTGAAGTTCTTCCTGAAAACCGGAAAGACATGTTAACAATTGCACATTGCATTTCTTGCCAATTTATTACGTATAAAGTTATTATTAAATGTAAATCTAGCCTCTAACCTAATTTGGCCGAAGTCAGATTCAACAATTATAGGGTTTTTTAAATTTCTTTTCGTACTTTGATCCAAGTATGGAAATAATAATACTTCAAAATAATTTTTTTAATTAAGGTGCTCGTCAATAACAACCTCTTGATGTTGAGTTAATTTCATAGTTCATAGCAATTATGAAATCTGATTGCCATTCACATGAAACGAGACGGGAAGACATATCATGAAAGCCGCAAATGGACACAGAGTAACGTTTTCATAATTAGCAACCAGACAGAATAAAAAAAACTCAAAAAATATGCGCTGAAGTAGCTCTTAGTCACAATATTTTGTATTCCATAGATGATTTTTCAGATTCTGTTTTTGCATTAATCATTCATTATGGATATCATAATTCAAAAGTGATTCAATATTTTCATCCATTTTGTTTCGTCTGATGACATCTTCTGTAGATCCATCATAACAATCTGCCACAGTATGGACTGGTAAATATATTCAAATTTTTTACAAGCTCGCTCTGTATGTATGTCAGTTTGAGTTTAATCTAATAACAAAATTTCAACTTAATTATCCTCTGTCGATCGAGCTGAAATTTTGCATACATGTTTAGTTTTAATGATAATTCATGATGATCTACACCCGGACTATCTAAGATGAGGGACTAGTTTTTCATGCACCCCTTGATATTGGCATCGAATAAAATGATTCACTAAAAGAAATACGAAATATAACATTGATCTAATATGGTGGACCGCCCTAGATGGCGGAGCAGTTTGTTTATGCACCCCCATAATATGGGTATCAGATGAAAGAGTCTGCTGAAAAAAAATTCTTAAAGACAGATCTCCTGGCAAACTCATGCATTTCGAATAAATGGATATAAAATGAAAGGTTTCAAGCGAAAATAAAATCGAATAGTCGGAAAACAAGATAGCTAGCATCATCATAGGGTTATAGTTCGGCTAAGGTGAGAGATATTTGATGGTACTCAATCAATTGTGGCTGTTAAATGGAGTGAACAGATTGACCAATATGCTCAGTGATGACTGAAAACTGAGAAATGAATGGGATAGTGAAAAACAAATTTCCATCGATCAGCTATATACGAATCTATGCTACTGAATTGTGTGCAACTGAATCAGGTTTCAGAGTTTAGTAGAGCCACACACCTACCATGTGACCTGAAAGACCACTCTCCATATGAACTAATCGGCCTCGTCAAGAAGCTGAGTTTATTTGATCGAGTGTGATTAGGTGTGAGCCACAATAAACCCTTGCGGGTGGCGGGTCGAATAGATCCACTCACTTTTGACCTAAGATAACCTAACCTATATACTGAGAAAATAAATTTTGCATGGGCTCATTCCCATGAATTCAAAAGAATAATCAATATGTGTGAAATGAAAAGCTGACGCGAGATTTACCACTGCAGAAAAAAGATAATACAATATGTAAATGAATCTTGACATGACTAATTCTAAAAAAATGTTTACATTTTCATGAAATAGATAAATGTCAACGGTATTCAACGAAAGTAATTTTTTATCGACTTTTTTTTGGGTATTTTTACCTTCCTCAATTTGAAAAATATGAAAATTATATTGGAGAACTTTATACATGTGTAGAAAGAGCAAACTTTTTAGTTTACCCCGATAAGTTACTGCGTAAAATCAAAGTATTTTTCAGAAAGAAAATTGTTCTATTCAATAGAAGAAAACTGCTAAGAAATAATACAATACCTATCTTAACGTTTCGGAAGCTTTGATCTGCCTCCGTCTTCAGAAATATACAAAGAAGTCAAAGATATTTGCAGTTATTTCTTTGCTGATTATTCATTTCCCAACTTCTTCGACAGATGTCAAAGGAGTTTTGTGACTCTACATGTATAAATTGGCCGTGATGATTATTATCATGGAAAGAGTTATTAATTTTTATCAAGTAACGGGTTGTGTTATATGCGTTTGAATCATTTCAAAACTTCTTTTTCATGCTAATATTCTTCTGGTCACTTCTTAATGATACTTAGGAGAGAGAGAGAGAGAGAAAGTTGCAATGTTGCAATGGAGACAGAGAGTCGATAGGTTCAGCAAGATTACGAAAATTTCACGAATAATCCGCATGGAAACGACAGTAGGTAAAGTTGAAACATAATACACCGGTGATAAGAGCCCTCTCAGCTCATTTACAAAACTGGCAGTACCACAAAAGATATCGATACAAAGGGTAATAGAGGATGAGTACCATAGGCATGTCAAGAAAATGTCAAGTTTGCCAAAGGATTGTTACGTAGGAGTAGCTTTGACATAGGAAGGAATATTCTCGACTTCTAGAGACACACTTTGCTGTGATATTTTCGAAAACATTCCTGAAAAATCAAATAACATTTGTTTGTCTCCCTTGGGAAGGAAAACGAAGTATGGTTATGATCTGCGGTTGTGAGATAAAGTATGTTAGTTCATGGCAATGGTTAGATACTTTGTGAGTTACCCAACTAGGAGGAAATTGATTTGTAATGAAATTTATCAATAATTGTTATTTTCTCCTGCAGTCAATTGGAATTGGAAATGAATTCAGAGTTCAAATCTATTATTAATCGCTTCGTTAATTTCTGTGTTGATATACCTGTGTTGCAGGTAGATATTACTGGTTATACTCCTTGTTTCAAATTACCTTGTGCATGGTTGTCTACACTGAGTAATGCATTCTCAACTATTATCATTAAATCATTGCTTGGAATAACCAGTGATGGCCATTGGCACACATCAAAGGGAGGAGGAGATCCTTAATAGCACAGCTTCCACAATAGAACATTTTTGGTTCAGATGATTTGATTATGATATCGAAAATTAGTATGAAATCATACCCTTCCATCTTTCACAGAAGTCTATCATAATTTACACAAACAAAAGCATTCAGTGAATGACACAAACATGATTGTGCATTCTGAAAAAAAAATATCATAGTCATTTGATGATATTGTATCAAGGATACTTTCCATTTTCAGAATGCAAATGCAAACTGATAGTTGTGAATTGGTTTTATTCAAATGAATATTATTGAGTGTCATTGGCTTCATCCAATACTGTAGGTTAAGGTGAGTATATGTTCGGTCAAGGTTACACTGTTAAGGTCAAGGTGTCACTGAGAACCTATATGTTCATTAGTTTATACTTCTCAGGTAATTTTTGATACCTTTTTCTCTGGGAATTTGAAGACCTATTCACCAAAATGAAAATCCCATTTGAAGAATAGAGGGACAATTATACACAAAGTGTAATTAATTGAATTCAATTCAATGTTTTAAATGTTTTTGTTACTGCTTGGAAGTTTGATTTTTTCAGCATTCATGATAAAAAAAAATAGATGGTACAGGAATCAACGGAAAACATTTCATGCAAAAACTCTTTTGTATTTGTTATATCTCACCTGGTATGGACACTCTGAATCCTTTTGGCGACAATGGTTCCACCAGGGCTTCAGGTACTTCATACTGTGCTTCTACAATAACACTACTAAACAATATCAGCAACAAAAACATATTGCATGTCGGGCAAATACTGAATTACTGGTATGAACAATGTTACCGTCCTACAGAGTCGCCGCCAAAATATATTGAGATTGGTGGAACGGTTAAATAAAAACAGGTTTGCAAAGAGACGACATTCACAATGTTCTTAATTTGTTAAAATGTTTTATAGAGATAAATCTGTTCTCATATATAGACAATAAGCTTTCAAAGGTAAATTTGACGACCAAAGAGTTTCCTTTATTTTGATTCAAAAAGGCTCTGTGAGCTATTGTCAATGTCAATTACTTCTTCAGATGCCCAAAACAGGTAATATATTTCTGTATTTGAAGATAAACATTCATTTGGAGAACACTGTTTATTCAAGAGAAATTTATTCAATCTTCATGAAAACAATCGTTGAATATTTATATTATATTATCAAACAAAATCGTACAATTTTGGTAAACCAGGAAATTTACGTAAATAGCTATGAGGGCTCAGCTTCTGCATGAAACTGAAAGGAAACAATGCCTTTACAAATAGTTTACTCACTGAAAATAGGACAAATTTTTTTTTCGCCGATAAGGTTGTTATGAAAAACCTATGCAAAAATTTGTTTTGAATTTATATGTGGAAATGCCATGTGGCGCCATCTTCCACGGAAAAGGTTAACATTAATATATAAATGAACATGAACAAAACTGTAAATGTGTAATAAAGTTGTAAGCTTCGTCTACGAGATACAAGGTGGAGCAAGAAAGATGTTTTGTCATATAACTTAATTATCTCGTAAGGAAAATATTGTTGGGACACAATCATTTTGGATAGTTACAGAAACGATAGAAATTCAGCCAAATTCAGAAAGGATGTATGCATCAGTGCACTTTCTTTGTGGTAAGTGATGTCACACCATTAGCTTTTTTTATCAAAAAGCATTAAAAATGATTTCCTTCTGATTTCAATTTTGTCCAACTTTGATATCTTTCTCCGTTCCAGAGTTAGGACAGGTCGGAGAGGGCTATTAGGTTTGCTCTGTATAGTTTATATCACACCGACGGCAATTTTTGCATTTTCGTCTCCGCTTCAACAAAGGTGACTCCAATTTAACACCAGTTAGCACTAGTTATAGCTTCTTCGGCACTTTTATCCGCTGTTTCATTTCTTAATATTCCCGTAAAACATGTTTCATCTCCACCGTCAATGGGGTAGGACAGATTTGCTCAATTGTTTGCATTTATGATATGAACCGTCTATTAGTAATGAAAATGGCCTACCGCTCTTTTGACAACCTTGGCCATGTTCGATTTTTTTTTTCAATGAATTCAGTATCGTCTATTCCTTTCACTTAATTTAATGTGCTTCACGTCACAATCCGTCTCCGCATCATCTAGACCAGGGGTCTCCAAACTACGGCCCGCGGACCGGCCCGCCAGTGTCATCAATCCGGGCCGCGACAGCCAATGATTACCTAATTGTTGTTACTATTGCTGTGATAAGTTTTGAAGAAGAAAACACAGAATGATAATTACTCGGTTTTATTTACTTGCAAGGTTAAACTTAACGACAGAAATGATGACAAAGAAAACTTAACTTAAGTATCTAAGTTTAAGCATATTAATAACTAACATTGAAATGAATCACAGTAAAACAAAAACACTAATGAGATTTATGTAATTGTGATTTTCCACCGACAATACTTTGTAGTTGTGGATCAATTTTACTTGTACCAATTATAAAAAGGAATTTGAGATGCTCATCGGTTAATTGAGATCTGTTAACATTCTTTCTCACACAAGTAAGTAGTATCAAAAACAGAAAACAACCCACGGGCAAATTTATGCAAATTATCAAATTGTTCCAGTACACTTGACTCTTATAAAATTCCAACAAAGATGAATTTTGATATTTGTTCTTAAGCATATCACTGCACCGTAAATCAATAATTTCCATTTGGACTTCCGGAGCCAGGGTTTCAATGTCAGAATCAAAAGGATTTTGAAAAAGCTTAATTTCATTCGCAATGACATCAAAATCTGAAAAACGAGTATCAAAATTTATCTTCAAAGCACTCAAAGTTTCGATTGCAAAATTGACGGGAAATTCAATCTCTGTAGTGTGGCTGAATATTTCACATGTTTCTAAATGTGTGAAACATTTTTTACGTAATTGCGATTGAAATAGTATTATTTTCTGCCTGAAGGATTTGATATTGGTGTGAAAATCTGGGAGAAGCTGATTTTCTCCTTGCAATCTCAAATTCAGTTCGTTCATATGATTTGTCAAATCGACATAGAAGCTTAACTTCCACATCCATTCACTATTTTCTAAATCGGCAAAAGGGCGCTGCTTCTAATTTAAAAAATTTTCGATCTCTGCTCGGAGAATGAGGAATTTCGAAACATATCCATAAACGTGTTGATTTTCAATAGGTATCTAGAGTAACAGTATCGCCAGTTTTAAATAATTTTTATTATAAAAAAGTATATCTCGTAAAAAAATAACAACTGAAGTGGTCATAAGTATATACAAATTCATGAAGAGCTCTCACAAAGCGGACACTTTGATATAGTCAACTTCAACAACACTTTTTTCACTCCACGTACTCCACCATTCTTTTTTGGCTTCGTAAAATGTCTTCACCATATTGCGGTTTTTACTGCGCCATGGTTTTGTACCATCATTTCTGTCTTCAAAAGATTCTCCACCGACACCCAAGCCAATGGTTATATACATCTGAAAAAAAAATCAGTAGAGAAACATGATAAAAACAATTTTTTTCAGTACACCATTAGATATTCAGTTCATGAGTAATTTAATAAAACGTAATTGGAATTGTAATGAGTGGTGATTCTACACTCAGGTGCATAAAAAAGAAGCCTGGAAACGTTTACAAATTTTGATCTTGAATAACTTTTTCACTTTCAACCCAATTGTGATAATTGTTTTGTGAAATGAAATTTATCCCAAATTGCTTCACATTGACAGGATAAACTCGCGCTCTTAGAGCGGGATGAGCCCCGCTCTAAGGCTGCGGACACAATAATGGCGACAGTCGAGCGATGGCAAGGCGACGCGACGGCGTAACGGAAGCGTTGCGAGATACTTTACCTCATCGTCCCGCTTCGTGCCGGCGCGCGGTCGCCATCGCTCGGCCGTCGCGATTTTCGTTCCCGCGACTTATGAGCAGTGTAAGCCTGTCAAGTAGTATTAGGTTGTTTGAAAAGTTTTGTTCATTTTTATGAGTCTATCATAAACTGTCAATGTAACACAAGTCGATTAACTCCGCGTCAACATGAAAATTGTATGATCGACAAAGGCCGTTATCGTCTGGTTCTGATTGTCGAAGGTTCTACGAATGAGAAAGTCATCGAAGATGATGGTGGTCGGTTGTTGGCAAAAGATCTGGTGGATGGGACAGGCGTTGTCGTGGAGTAAGATCGGACCTCTTCTGTTGACCAGTGATGGCTGCTGTTGACGGTTTGGCTAACGATTGGCAGAAAGTTATAGTGAATCACACTAGCCCCTGACCACCATGCAATAACCATGTTTTTTTTTGGTAGATTTTCGCCTTTGGGAAGTGCCTAGGTAGTTCACTGGTGTCTGAGATATATTTGGATTTGTGCCACAGGGTATAAGTCCCAACATTGCAGTGTCACGGCGGCAGTGTTTTATATGGTTTTTTATATATTGTAAATTTCAGGTTTTTATGTTCTCAAGGGTTTGAAATGAAATAGATTGTCAATATTGAATGGAACGTGTTTGATTTTATTTGTACCTGATAAATAAGGAAATTATTCAAATAGTTTATTGAAGAAGTCAAGTTATCACAGTGTCCAACCACTGACCCGAACGTTTCCTGTTGTCGTAGAGGATCCACTTTTTGATGTATTAAAAATTTGAAATTTGGCAAAAAAATGAACAGCATCGAAGAATAAAGTACAAAATTCTCTGTGGATCAGTATATACCACGATTCTAAATATCATTGATATACGGAGCTACGAAATCACATGAAATTAAAACGAACAAAACTTTTGAAATAACTCAATATTATCAAGTAGGTCATCCGTCAACGTCTACCAAGCAGGGCCGTCGCCATAGGGGGGGGTTGGGGGGAGCCTCCCCCCTGCTTTTTCGACTTGGGAAAAAGTTAGTAAATTTTTGACCGTGAAGATAGAAAATAGAATTCTACTCGGAGTACTTCAAATCAAAATGGAAACAAAACAATATTCCTGTGAACGATATGACAGTAATGAAAAATGATGAATAATAAATGAAAACTGGTTAGATTTTTACATTTGTACTTCTAGAGCTCATTCATCAACTGTTTGAATTCCTCAATATGGCCAAATTTTTCAAATGTCTCAACAGTATCAAGAGTACAAAACAAGAATTGCTCTCGCACGCCACGGGTTTCAACCAAGTTGACGGCATCAGGAGATGAACTATACACATCATGCACTACTTTCGAGCATTTTTTCATACAAATTTGTTCTTATAGTGGCTTCGAAATTCGAAACTTGTACTATGACGAATTGCGAGATATCATCTTTCAACATGCGTGAAGAAAAAGCCCATCGTCTTACAGTAGGGATCGAATACGCATGCACGATAACGCTGACCAACTCACTCACCACTCACGCTGACCAACCGGCTACCGTCTGACAAGAAAGGTACTTGGACAAATTTAGAAAAATTGAAGGTACCTACTGCAAGTTTCATCAACTTTGGGTTATCAGAAAGACATTTTTGATGCATAAATTTGGAAAAATAAATGGGCTGTATTCAGTGACATCTGCTTAAAAAAATCACATACTGTGTGACTCCAGTAAACCTGTACTATTTTCTTCTTGCAGATATTCCTTTTTTTCTCAGTTTTTCCTTTAGTGAATATCATAAACTCTCGACTCAAAATGCAAATTTCGGTTACACCTGAATATTTTTCAAATTAATACTATCAACAACAAAAGTGTGAAACTACATATGTGTAATTTAATGATCAGTGAATTTCATTACAGTTGACAGTGAACCTATCAAAGTTCAACAACCGAACAATTTATTATTTTCTCACCATCTGATCAAATGGAGCCATCTCAGAGCCTTCCTTCCATCTCGTTGTGTTTATTTTGAGGGATGGTCCAAGTTCTGCGAATCCCTTCGATGGGGGGAAGATTGTACCATATGTCATGTTATCCACTCCAACGCTTATACCATCTGAAAAGATTGATGATGGTTAATACAGAAGTTTCAAAGAAATGCCTATAAAATTTTTTGATGAATGTATTATTTCAAACGCTGGGTGTAGTTTCCGACCGAAACTGGTTTTTACGACCAAAACCGAAAACAAATTCCGGCAACGGTGTCAGTTTCGGCCGAAACCGAAACGTTCTTACAAGGATTATGTTTTGAGGAAAAAATAAAGAAAAGGTTATTTTAATCAATTAGTCTTAATTTTTTTATCTTTAAATCACAATGTTATGCAGTCTTCGACATTTTTACTTATTGATAATTAACAAAAAACCCCTTATTTAAGAAAAAATATTAATGGCACCTTAAAAATACTTAAAATAGGTGAGGTGTTTATTTGAGTAGGTGTAGACTCTTCTTTTGAATATTATTGATGGGTTTTCAAAAATATCAAACATAAAATCACTTATTTGAGTTGTTACCTAATATCACTTGTATGGAATTTAACACGCCGAACATGACCAATCACAGCGCGAGAACTCCCGAATGCAGTTTCGGTTTCAGTCGTAGTTCCGGCAGGTTTGCCGCCGAAACCGAAGCTAAACCGAAACCTTTTTTTTTTTCCGAAACTCGACCGAAACCGAAATCGAACTTTCGGTCGGACACAAGCTGGGTGTTATGTCCAAACGAATAAGGTAAGGGGCGGTTCAAGTATAGCGGGCGAGGTTTTTTTCAAGGACAAAACATAAGCACTACAGCAAAATCTTCAAGGCGCTATCAGAGCCGTGCCTCCAGATGAAAGAGTTCTTGAGCAATGAAGTTCGAGTTATACTGAGTTGAACCTCAAAACGATGAGAAGTTGATATATACCGCTCTTGGTGGAATCAAATGTGCTAAGTCACTTGAACACCTCCTGTGAAAGTATCTATAGAAGAGAGGCTATCAAGGTTGCACGTGATGTTCGCGTCTCCAATCAGGCGTATGGCTTTTTTCTGGATGGAATCCAGCAACTCCAGGGTATGTTTGGTGGCAGAACTCCATACATGAGAACAATACTCCAAGGAAAGTCTGATCTGCGCTATATGATGCATTGAAATTTGCTGAGGAGTGTACAGTTTTTTGGTTTGGTACAGTGTTCCAAGCTTTTAAGAAGCAGCCTTTCCAGTTCGACAATTTATCGAAGCAGAAAGCGGAATTGTCTGATATGACATTATTATATCCGGTTCGGAGACATTCATCTTCTTGGAGAAAACCGATACCTGGGTTTTTGTGGCATTGAGTTGAACCTGGTTAATTGAATAGAACTGGCCGATACTTGATGAAAATTCATATTGAAACTCATTAATACAGTTTATTGTATGATTATCACTATAAAGGGTTTTACAAAGGTTTTGCAAAAACCGCGACACGTGTTTCGCTATACAATGCTTGAGGAAGCTATTGTATAGCGAAACAGTTTTTTTTTAACCTGGTTACTTTCACCCCAATTCGAAATCACGTTTAGATCCTCATCAAGATATGCAACCTCCTGCTGCCGGTGAAGAGGTGCCTCCGTAGCCGATGTCCTGGAATCTAAATGAAATGACAAGACAAGTGTGCTGTCGTCAGCAAAGCAATATATTGAATTCTTGGTTTTTTCCAGTAAGTCGTTAATGTACAACAAAAATAGGGTTGAAGACAGTATGGATCCCTAGTGAACACCAGGGGTATTTGCTTTGCCTATTTTTGATGACACGAGGGCGGAGGTTCTAGATGGGAATTACCTCAGCAGTAGTTATTTACTTTTTCACATATATGGCAACCAATACATTCTCTATGTTTGAATATAAAACGCCTTTTTGGAGATTCCCGTAAATAACGTTTACGTTTAGGTACTACCTTAGAACCGAGTAGGGAAATTACCGGGCGCTATTCACTTGTCTGAATATGTCAGGCCGGACGAATGAGATCTTCCTGATTTCCCAGACATTGAATGGTATACAGAACACGTGCATGAAAGCCAATACTTGCTTCAAATTGTGAAATGTAGAAAAATAGAATGCTATCGTCCCAGAAGTGCCTATTTAGATTACCTACTAGACAACAGGTTTCTTCTACTATCAGTTACAGTAGAACAAACAGTTGATGACTTGGTTTTCGATGATGAAGGGCAATTTCTCAATCTTCTAGTCTATTTAGCTCTACGCTTGAATGATTCACTCAAAGATTTCCTGCAAATGCTTACCGATTATTTTTGTTCGACGATAAAAGTGAAGTTATCAAGTCGAACATACTTCTGATTAGTCACTAAATCACAGTATACTTATATACAGTAGTCCCAGTAAGCGTCGGTCCCTTTGATGTTGGTGTCCAGGAGTTACGGTTTTTATAATGCTGACGTATTTGACACTAATGGCATTTCTTCCTACTACAATCTCAACCAAAGCATCTAAACACTGATCAACATAACAACTATTCTTATAAACTGCTTAAAAAACACAGTCGATGAAAACCATGTTGAGCACCTGAGAAAATTGTACAAATGTGTGATATTTAAGTAACCCAGATCATTTGGACAATGATGAACTACGTTTCACGTAGATTTTAAAAATTCATGGGATTGGCAGATGTTCATATTCAGATGTGACAAAATATATTTTCATTCCACAGTAGGTTAAGTGAAACCCAATGTGAAACAACAATGGAAGGGTTGCGTGCCTGCCTTAAACTCGTCGTTTGCGCAGACCTGAGACAGCAACTCCTGGGTCTGCGTGTAGAAAATTCAAACCAAAAATCACCCGAAGTAGGATTACTGTATATAGTATACTGTGACTAAATCGTCACATCGAGAAGATCCTTGAAAAAGTAAACACGCACACTGATGTCAAAGTTAGGCCTATAAAGCTTGTCGCTCACTTGTGCGGCACAGCACAGCACGGCGCTGTCCGTCGCCTGATGGCGACTATGTGTTTGATTTCAAGGGAATTTCAGTTGACATCAAGCAGTGACAGAAACATGTCTATCACTAGCAGTTCTGACAAAGAAGTCGTCATTATAGTGTCCGCATTATTGAATGTAGAAGAAAATAGTCACAAAAAAGAGGGTAAATCTGGGAGAGTTTCATCATCTTTTCAACGACCTGAAAGAAGACGAGGAGAAATTTTTCCAATATTTCCAAATGATTCCAGTCAAATTTTCAGAACGTCTAGATATTCTAGAGCCTGCCTTAATGAAGAATTACAATACATGCGTTGAAGTCCTCTATCTTAAATCTATTTTCTTATTTCTAGAATCATAACTGCTGCTCATGACTCAATAAAAAACAGAATACAATAAAAAAATGCATATAACAATGTTTACGTAAGCATAGGAGGGGAGTAACAGCTCTGCTTACATTTGCTGGCATAAATGAGGAATATGGGGGTAAATATTTGTAATAAATAAGCTTATACGTATTACTTGAACGGCCCCTGAGGTACTCTCGAACAGATGTCATTTTTGTGTCATTGGCATGTAAGAAAATTCAATCGCATATGAAAAGTCTTCATCAGAAAAATCGAAATCTACTACTAAATCTACTAAATCTACTAACGAATGTGAAATCTACATTTTCCAGAATGTTTACCCGTATATGTTACAAAAAAATATTGTTATAATAGATTGCCAAATGACATTGAACCATTTACCAACACGGTTTTTGGGAATGAATAAATTTTTGTTTATCCATTTATTATTATCGGAAAACCTGTAAAAAATTATGAATCTCTAAACCAGGGTGTGAAACTTGAATTTATCATCCGAGGTATATCACACTTCAATTTTTTTTCAAGTATTTGAAACACGTTCAAAACATGATGAAGTAGTAGTAGTAGTAGTTTATTAATCACCAAATTACATGTATTTATGAAAGCATACAATGGAAAAAATGGGCGATTAATATAGATATAAGAAAGAGTTTGTCAAAACGAGTCTTATTGAATTTTTATCAGAGGAAATATAGATATTGATGATTCGCTTGAGTTTTTGGAAAACATCAATATCAAAATTATTTTCTTTGCAGCGACTTTTAGAAGTGTACCTACTTCATAAATTCAGGCTTTGGAGATTCGAAACTGACAAAAACTGACCAAAATACTCACTTGGTTTCCAATTGACTGTAAATGTATGAAAATCGTCTGACCAATGAGATCTGCGTTCCGTAGTTCTATCACCATATGCTCTAGCTGCAGGGGTAGCGCCAAGGGTAATTCCTCCGTGCAAAATGTGGTTCTCATTCAGATTTCCAGCCACGAATGCCACCCGTATTTGGCCTGATTGAAGATTGGACCCGTATATTTCCGAAAGCGGAGTCAGGTACAACTCTGAAAACGTTAAAACTCATTTATCATTCATAAAAAACATAATGTGAGAGATCCTTCAAAAAAGTTTGTGAGACTCTCAGAGATTTTGTTCACATTTAGGAAGCAGAGATGTATATTAAAATCAAATCAATTGACAAGTTTCAGCATATCTGCAAGGCATATGAAAAATAGACCATAATTTTCATTAGAACACGAAATCATATATGCTCTCAAAGAAGCTGTCCATGACAGTTCACGATGGCATACAAGAATTTCAAATATACATACGAAAAATTCTATACTAACTTCTGAACAATACGATAATATGAATGAAATGCATTGCAGGTAATATAACCCTACTTATTTCCAACTATCAACCACACCTTGTCACCTCTCATCTGGAACCCAATTTTCTCGCCATCTTTCAAATACACTTTGTCTTCTTTCGCACCATGTTATCTATTTACACTACTTTTCCCTTCATCTGTCAACCACAACCATGTCATCTGTCATCTGTCACAACCTACTTTTCTATACCGTGTCATCTATCAACCCTACTTTTATATCAATTACATGCTACTTTTCCCGCCAAATCCACCGGCACCAGGGAACTTTACCTATCATGTAAAAATATTATTGAAGAAAATGGGTAAGGCGAAGTTGAATTCCAAAGTATCTCGTCAATTTATTAATAAACGATCTCTGAACTGCCAGACCTGCATCACTTCATCAAACTTGTATTTGTTTTCGAAGCGAAGGTCAAGGATATATAGCTAGGTATAATCTATTCTTGACCTCCGCATCGAAAATAACTGATACAATGGACCAAGTCGTTCATTCTCCGCAGTGATGGTCTTATATTTATGTAGTTCATACCCTCTACTGAAAATTGATAGAAACTTCTGCAAGTATTAGCTTTCACTTCCGATTTCTCGTGTGACTTTTCAGTTTTCCACAACAGCTGGATATTCAAGTGATACAAGAACCCATCACTATAATGATACAATAATAATAATTTTTATCAATCTACACAGAAAACACTCTTCTATTGAAATGTGTCTCAATGTATCAATTGTCATGCAATGCAAGATTAAGAATATAAATCCCACATGGAATAATTGGAATGGTATTTTTGGGTAAACCAAATTCAAAGAATTCAAAATAATGCTTTTTCGAACGAAACAATAATGATATGTCACCAGCTTCGACACTCAAATTTCCTTCTCATCAAGGTTTCCAGAATCACATTCGATATTGAAACAAATCAATGGATCAACCATTGAAAAGTAAGAAAAAGTGATGATGGTCTGTGTGATAATTCATAGACCATATCATTTGACGCAATTTCAAAGCAAACCTGTCATAGTGAAAGAAAACAACTCACCGGGATATATCCAGTCTCCTTTGGGAAGTTTGGCACGAATTTCAATTTTTCCGTACTTGAATGCGAATTTCTGTTTTGTCGTTATCTGTGCTGACACAACTGGTGGCAGAAGAAATCCGTCGTATTCTCTGCTGCATCCTGGAGATCCAGCTACGTCAGTACAACTGTCGAACAACGAAATCAGTTTAGATCATATATTCCATAACTGAAGACTTCCTCCTTTCTTGTTTGGAAATGGAAATATCATCAGATTGAATTTCATCTTCATTTCACTTCTCTCCAATTCGGTTGATCAGAACCACATCTAGGAAAGTGTGGAAATTCTGATGTTTGGAAGCAATTTTTGTTTTGAATTAACTATACGTCAAAGGTTGAAGTTCTACCATTCAACACAGAAAATGTTTGATTTATGTAGATGTATCTTTTCTCGCTGCAGTCTTTAGACTTATTTTGATTACATGCCTATTTTTTGTCATTTCTGTATTACAAAAAAATATTGTAGACCATCAGTATCAGAGTTTAGGAAATTTTGAAAAATTCAAACTCATTATATGTTACGGAATATGGCATTTCCAAAAGCAGAGCTACAGTCACTGAAATTATAACTAACATTTAAACAAAAAGCGTAGCATCTGTTTTAAGAAAAGTATTCTGAGAGTATAATTTCACTGTGGAGATAATAAGATTATACACACTAAGTGTGTATATTATTATTAGAATATACACACTGAGTGTGTATATTATTATCTCCATCTAAGATTATACACACTAAGTGTATAATCAAAGAAATATGTTTATATATAAAGTCAGAAAAGTCTACGAATGCAATACGCATATATAAAGAACCGACTCTTTAGCCAAGGAAGCGGCTGGACTAAGAATTTTAGGACCCAATGACACCTACGGTCTGATAACTTCGACAATTGCGGAACTAGCCAAACGTCACACCCATGCTCAATCCCTAAAGAGGTGGATCACCCTGGGCGACCCTGGAAAGCTGGTGCCGAAGAAATATCCGGCGATGAACAGGAAAAACCTGCGCTTAACAGTAGGATTTCTGACTGGTCACTGTTAACTAAGGAAATACCTCCATAATATGGTGCTAGTAGACACACCTCTATGCAGGATGTGTGAATAGGAAGATGAAACTGTCAGGCATGTCCTATGCGAGTGTCCGAAGTTATCGTCAATAAGAGAATGTATGTTCAGCGAGTCTTGGCCTACACCTGCCGATATAAAGGAGATGTCTGCCTGTGACCTGTCCAGTTTCCTGAAAAGGACAGGATGGACGATGACCTAGGAGGACAACTCTTCGGGAGGATGTACAATTGGTCACATGTGGCCTGAATACTGTGGGCTTACTCTTACCCTCCCTACTCTACAGATACAGAAAGTCATAAAAGTACTATTGGGAGGAAATCTTGCGTAAGGATTCCTCCCTGGTCCAGTTCTCTTCCTCATCTGAATTGATTCAATGACGAAATCAAAAGCATATTCAATCAATTGCAAACAACACAAACTTTACACATTTTTTAGGAAATGTCAAGAACCTTCAAAATTCTATGGCTGAAGATTCGAAAATCATAATCACAGAAAAAATTGTATCATCGATGTATTCATCGAGAATGAGAATGGTTTGGATTTGGATAATGAACAATTATAATACGACTAAGCAGTTATGAACTTTCATGAAAAATTAATTCGGAAAATTAAAGACTTGATTATGTCTAATAATCAATAAATACATTATTTCAAATGAATTTAAATGAATATTATTACTGTTTCATCAACATACTAGTTGAATCGTGTTTCGAAACTGTATCACCCTGAATAAGTCATTTGATAATGAGACTGTGAAAAAAAACTTAAAACATGTCAACTTTTTTTTCAGGGAAACTCATTTCTATACAATAAACAATCACTTGTTGTAGAATGTCCTTACCTCATGTCAAAACATTCAAATAATAGTCGAGTAACACCTTATTCGCAATGTAAAACCAAACACAAACTGAAAGTGTTCTGGATCGAATTGTATTACATTACCTTTCGGAATGAGGTGAGATTTTTGTTTTGTGATTTCATGAATAATTAGAACAAATATTTTACCAATTGTCCTCACCTTAGGTATCATATGAAAATAACGTAATACATGGATTATTATTTGTGGAGCACGCACCGACAAATCAATATTTCCACATTCCACCTGAGTGCTCAATGAACTATCTAAATAACAAAGAATTGAACAACAACAACAACAACCTCACTTAATACTTAGTTCATTTGTTAACTAAAATAAACAGAAATATGTACTATTGGCTGTATAAGTACAATTAAAACCAGAAATAACAAAAAAGCAATAATAACATGTCTTACTTACTTTTCGCCAAATTTGAATCCATTTTTAGAGTGAACAAAATCATGTCCAAAAACATCTTCACTCAGTAGAGGTTTTATCCTAACTACTCCATCAGTCACTTGTAGAGTCTCAGGAGTATTCATGTACATCACAAACTCGTAATCCTGAAAAAAAATTGATATGTTTTGTATTCCGATTGATTTTGTATTCTGATCCCGTGTTAGGAATCACACTTTAAAAGGTAAGACCTCGTTAATCCTTAACTCGCACAAGTTTCGACTTCTGAGGGTTGTCGTTCGTAGGGGTGCGACAGCTGGTTAACGGAAAAACAGATTTTAAACAGATTTTTTTCAAACAGATCCTCCCAAACCGTCTTGAGTAATTATGCAGAATCACTAGACTTGTAGTAATAATAATTCTTGATTTATTTTCACCCACGTTTCAACACAAGCTTTGTACTGCTAGTGAGCCATTCCGCTCTAAGTAGAAAAAAATCATAGCAAAAAAGGGGCTAGGAGGTGAGAGAGGTAGTCACTGAAAAAATTCCCAGAAACGCAGATCGTTATTGAAAAATCTCAAGATCAACTCATTGATTACAAAACCACACCAGTTCCGGTGTTCAAGAACGCTGAAGGACTTTGTGGTTCCTGGTAGGAACTTCAGAGAACATCCTGCCTACACATCTGGTGAGTAGTTGGTCACATCTTCGAAATTTTAGTCGATCAATTATAAAATCCGGTCCACTACACTAACAGTCACTATACTGAAATCGAGTGTACCAAAACTCCAAGGTCAAGAGATACATCTCTCGGAGGAAGTCAAATGTTTGGAAGCGTTACTAGATTCCAAACTTACTTGGAACAAATGTCTAGAAAAAGTGACACTGATCCAGGCCAAATGCACTCACGGAAAGACATGGGATGAAACCAGACATGTATTGGCTGAACACCATGGTGGATGAGTCCAAGATAACATTTGCATTTATGGTCTGGTGGTCAAGACGAAAGCAACCTTCATTAACAAACTGAACACAATGCAAGGACTTGCATGTTTGGAAATAACTGGATCAATGACCAACAACTGCATTGAAAACACTTTCGAATCATACTCCTTAACTTCTTGTAATGATGAGGAAAGCAAAGTTGGGCAAGGTTGGCATCTACCAAGAAATCTTTCTCTCAGGTACATACCCAACAAGATTAGTACACGTCAGTCTTTCAAGCTGAAGTCTGTGCAATCTTGCAATGCACAGGAACGGCACACTGTACCCATTCGATCTCAAGGTCAGTTGAAGATATTCCAGTTCTTCCTCTAGATGATCTGGTTCACATATTTTTCGAGCCCGTTCAGTGAGAGTAGAGATGACTCTACTTTTTTGACTAGGAAGATGTTTCAATAGTGCTTGCAGGTATCTATCCGTATGCGTGGGTTTTCGGTACACTTTGTTGGTTAGTCTTGCACCACATGGTCTAGCACATGGAGAAAGACCATTTGATTCCATCTAATATCTGCGAGGTCTACCTCAAAATTCAATTTTGGGAACGCTACTCCCCACTACTCTCTCCACTACAATGGGGAATGTTCCTCCTGACGAAAATCAAATAGTTTTCATGAAAGAGCTCTAAAACAACGCATTTTAAACTTATCATTTCAATCTTCTTCTTTAAATAATTATTTAAATACTTAAAAGAGAGGAATGAAAAATGCATTCAACATTTAAAGGGATTCGTTTCTATTTCACCATTTGGCAACATCGGTTATAGCCAATAAAGGACAATGAATCTGTTACCTGTATGAGACAAACAAAGATGACTATTTCAGAAGCGTGCTGTTCTGTTTACTTATGTTCCGAGACATTCTGTGACATATGACATTTTGTGCACCTAACCTATCTTCCTCTATATGAATAAATAACAAAACAACTGTTGTTTATGTGGCCTATGGAAGTGATATTGAACTAATATTTATATTTTGCCTCAATTCGACACTACTGACATGCATACTACTAACCTGAACTCCGATCTAGCATTCTAGGCGCTGTTGCCAATACGTGAATTAGAAACAAATCCCTTTAAAAATCCAAACCCAACATCTGAAACATCAATTTGAATACTTTTCGAACTGAATTTGAAAAAGTCGTGAATTGAACTCAACTTTATTTTGTTCAAACTTGCATTTGCTGTAATAACCCAAATTGAGGAACATTCCCCATTATATAAGCATCTGGCACACATACAATCAAAGTGTTCAATACTTCTGATGGAAAATACTTTCGCTGCTTCCAACGAGAATAATGAGCATCTCGTAAGACTTGTTTATAAATAGAATGAATTTCTTTCTCCGAATCTGAATCTTCACTTCTAGGAAGAAAGGTCCATACCCCTCTTTTCTCTATATTCGAAATGAATCAATCAATTTGTCGGTGTATTAAAATTTCATTTGAAATAATATTTTTTTGGAGAATTATTCTTCAAACTTTCATCACTTTTCTTTAGATTTCTTACCGGTCCCTGAGCAAATCTCTGTTCTGGAGTCCAAAATACACTTTTGAGGGTCTTCGTCGAGAAATCGTCCTGAAATATCACCTGACCTTGACAAACTTTTTCAAGGCTACTTTGTGTATCTGTTACTCTGCAGAAATCAGGATTCCTTATGTCAATTTTGGGTAGGTCTGGATTCGAGTCAAAATCTGAAAAAAAAGTGATTTATACTGTATATTTCTGAACCATTCATATAATATTCGCAAATTTCTGTTAAACTTCAACACATTTGAGAAAATAATTGAGTGAGGGCAAAATTATTGGAATGAAATGTGGTTTTCAGCTTTTATATGATTTTATAGGTTGATATTTCATTTGGCTTCACCATTTCATAAAATACTAGACTGGCCTACTTTCTGGTAATTAGGTCATCACCTTTCTGAGTAGATTCTGAAAATATATTTCAAATTGCATCAAATTGATACAGAGAGCTACTACAGTTCAAAATACTTTCTATGAAAATGGAAGAGAGTTTTTATTGCTTACCAATAAACAAAAAACTTCTTAAAATTGCAGAAAATTGTGAAAAAAACGAGCACATTTCTATTGCGTTTATTTAAAATATCAATATTATAAAATGTTCTCAATTTTTCGAATAGTAAAATTGGTGTTCACGGTTGCCAAACTCTATATGTTAAAGACAATACCAAATGAATAACTGCAAATCGGGAAGCTTCAGCCAAATAAACCGTTTAAATTTCATACTGATATGATTGAAATTTATAATAGCACATGAAAATCAATGGTGAGAATTCTATATTTTCTGAAGTCGATGTTGGTCTGTCTTTTACATGTTTAGCAAATCCGACTTCTGAATCAACAAAACAAGTGTTACGTACGATGAAATAACGATGTTTCATGATGCATTTTATTAGTTCGGACTTCCATNNNNATATCATATTAAATAGACTATGGAAGTCCGAACTAATAAAATAGAAAATTTTCTTCTGAGAAAGACAACTTTTATGTGTTTTCACGGAATAACTCACTCAAATCACTAGGTATATACTCATATAACTGTTCGTTTTTAAAAAGAGCTCTCCATGAAAGAATTGAATGTTGACTAGAACCTTCCGTTGAAGAAAAAAAAAATTGTTTCAGAAACTGTTGTCTGTTGAATAGATCAATTTTTTGACGTCGCTTTTGGCAAAACTTCTGAATCACTCACTACATATTTATACATAATGATATATTTTTCTATTGAAATCCAAATATTGAAAAAAGAGTCTAATTTGAAAAATCTAAATTTGATACGCTAGGCTTCCACTCGGTTCCCTGCAAATAATTTTCAAAAGGACCAATAGATCGAAATATGGAACTTAAAAATGAAAGCTCTATGTTACACACAATGTATATTGATATGAACTTTTTTCTCACAGTTCACCCAATAGTAACTTTCCCGAATATAAGCATGAAGTTATTATTATCATCATCATGAACTGTTATTTCTTACTATTCACAACGTAGCTTTGGTCATCTCTGGCATATCCAAGTTTATTCTGGCCATCAAAATAATCAACATATGTCCAATAGTATATCACGTCTCCTTGTTTGAGTTTTGTTGTTTTGTCAGTGAACGTCCATCTCCCGTTTCTCGGTTTGAGAATGTCCCTAGCGAAAGTACCAGCTTCCCTGCCATCGAATTCCTCATTAATTTTTCCGTGGAAAGCAAACAACTTGATACCGTCTTCGTCTGAAAAGCAAACATACGAGTATATATCATTTCCATAACTTCAATTCCAAAACATAAATACATTCTTGTTTTGATGAAAAATGTTATACGACTCATTGATTATTCCGGTAGATGTGGAAACAATGAGAGGTTATCTTTATAATAACTGTTTTGTGTTGAATAACCTATAATCAGTGGAAATAATCCAATAAACCTGAATAATAATTTCATTGGAATTTTCCCAAGCACATTGCTTTAAAGTAATTGCCCTGTATTCAATATTTTCTCAATTCATATTCACAGTAAAATAATGAAAACTCTTTCGAAAAAAAGTTTCTTGCTTTAGTTTCTGTATCTTTATAAAAACATTTGTGGAAACTTCCAAAGGAAGAAGAAAAACAATCAGGTTCAACATAAACTATTTACAAAGATGTGTATATGTCGAAGCTACTTTCAGTTAAGAGGTGGACCAAATCATCACTTCAATCAATCTTTCTACTTGTCTTAGGAGGACAAGAAGACAATAATCTATCCTGCCTAGAAGGAACTGGTAAAAGTCCACCATTCTCTGTTTCTTTATGATGAAAAGTAATGAATGTTCATCATAAATGCAGGACGCTTACACAAACCAAATTTGTGATTTCATTATGATTTACCACAGTCAGTATAGACAGGTAAGGTGAGGAACTTATGCAACTGTATTTCAAGCGGAAATTTACGCTATTGAATTGTGTGCGGAGAGATTAAATAAATCCAACCTCACACAAAAGTCAAAAATATTCTCGGACAGTCAAGCGGCTTTTGTAGCTCTTGGCTCCTACTGAGCAACGTCCAAATTGGTAGCAAATTACCAAAAACGACTCTCCTCGATAGGAAGACTTAATAGATTGTCGCTAGTCTGGATTCCTGGATATACTGGCCTGGAAGGCAATGAAGCTGCTGACTCTTTTGCAAAGTAGGGTGTTGCAAGCAGCTTCATCGGAGCTAAACCTGTCATTGGTATTGCTTTAGGCTTTGCCAAGCAAACATTGAACACCTGGATGGCAAGAAGATTCATGGACTTCTGACAGAATCTTCCAGTATTGGCTCACTGCAAGACGTTTATTCACCCTTCGAAGTTTGATACCAAACAGTTGTTGGACTACGGTAGGGATGAACTACGATGTCTTACAGGCCTTCTTACAGGTCACTGGCATTTGATTCATCATATGCAGAGACTCGGACTGTCGGAAGATAGTGTGTGTCGCCTCTGTTCGGTAAATGATGAAACAGCAGAGCATATACTTTGTGCCTGCCCCGCTGGGTACCGAATCAGGTTTTTAGAGTTCGGCAGAGCCGTACTTTTACTATCTGACCTGAAAGAGCACTCATCATACAAAATAATCGGCTTTGTGAAGAAGCTGGGTTTATCTGGCCGAGTGTGAATAGGTGTGAGCCACAATAAACCCTTGCGGGTTGCGGTGGAGACCTAACCTAACATAATAGACAGATTTATGATAGTTTATCAGGTCCACCCTATTTTTATCGGGAGTGTGAAGTGCGTTTAGGTATTTAATCAAAAATACTTGTTGAAACTAATAAACATTCTTTGGTGGCGGGTTGGCTGTCCTTGTTCATATTTCACTGACTGAATCACTGTTATTGGCGAGTGCATTGGCTTGGGATGTTGGGTTGAGAAAACCGGTCATCGGATGCTTGCTTCCACGTAGCCACGCTGGATACGGGAATGATAGAATCACTTCTGGTTGTGTTATTCCGTAACTGAATGGCATTCCAACGATGTCTCAATTCTAAGGTATGTGTATCCGTGCCGAGAGTGTGAATGACACTGAGCCTATCAGCTGTCTTTATGGAACCTTCGACATACCGGGCGCTCCCTCGTCGTGCTTTCTCGTCGTAGCATCGCCTTGGTACGGTAATGCGGGACTCTGCCGTGATTGACCTTCTTTCTCTAGCTACCCGTGGGACTTTTATGAACAGAGTAAACTTAAAAATTCTTTCTGACGCCGAGACTACAGAGGCGATGATTCAAAATTAAAATATGTTTAATAAAAATAAGAACAAATATATTCTTGCATATTGTGAATTGGTACGACTCCAACTGACCTCCCTGTAAATTTAGATCAGGATCGGGAGCTTCACAACTCTCCAACTCCTGATCCAATACCTGAACCTAAAAAAAAGGTTTTGGTGGTGCAGCCAGAAACGACTGAATCGTCTCCTCAAGAGCGGGGTACGCAGAATCTGTCTCAGGTGGAGGAACAAACCCCCATGAGCAGGTTAGCAAACGTTTGCACTCGAGTCATGATTCACCAAAACCAGAGGCGAAAAAGCCCTGCACGGTTGAATCTAAGGCACGTTAGGTGTAGCTGACGTGCCAAAACCCTCATATGGAAAGGTTGTCGTGAGTAACAAGGTGGGATTCTTGCACCTTGACTACCCGAATACCTCACTAACTATGAAACAGCAGAGCATATACTTTGTGCCTGCCCCGCTGGGGACCGAATCAGGTTTTTAGAGTTTAGCAGAGCTGTACTCTTACCATCTGACCTGAAAGTCCACTCACCATATAAACTAATCAGCTTCGTTAAGAAGCTGGGTTTATTTGGTCAAGTGTGAATAGGTATGAGCTACAATAAACCCTTGCGGGTTGCAGTGGAGAGTCGAATAGACACACTCACTTTGGACCTAACCTAATCGTTCATTCGTATAAAATTCACAAGTTATTTCTGTCTATTATCGGAGACATGATATTATTTCGAAGCTTCCATAATTTCCATAATTTTGTGAGAAAAATCGCATTTGTTTATTAGTTTGACTGAAGAGAAAAGTGGCCATTTTGATTCATACACGCAGGGCCGGATTTAGGGGAAAGTAGGCTACTGCCCAGGGGTCTCCACAGGAGAGAAGCCCCCACAATAAAGATAAAAAGGATATATCCAAATTTTGGCGATATATCAGAAAGCCCTGATTGCAAGTTTCAATTTACAATCAATTTTTGATTTGATCGAACATTTCAGGATCAATACTTTGTTTATGTGTGATTTGTTTTCATGAGTTGAAGAGAAATGGAATAAATGAAAATCTTCTCACTTCTTCGTTACCTCAGGGCCTGCAGACTTTAAAATCCGGCCCTGCACACACTAAGTATAATTTATTAATACAAGCACTGCTTAAGATGTAGATCTTCATCACCACCATAAGTAATTGAAGCACTGTTAGATCGGATCGAATCATGAAGTCATCCTCTTCTTTTGTTACATCTATTAACAACGTTGAATATTCGGAAAAAAATACTACATTATTTACTTTTCAGCCGACTCAATTATGCACGCCTATGAAACAGCCACTTAAATATGATTCGTTACTCCACTGCTGAAGGAAATAGGCTATTGAAAGCAACTACTTTTCTGACTAGTGCAAAAACGAATATTGAAAAGTATTCGGCAGATATAGGTTTCTTCATACAACTATCTGTCAATTATGATCCAATATCCATCAAAGTATCACAAAAGAAAGTACTTCCGTCAAATCATATTGTGTACGATTACTTAGAGAGGTTGATGTCATCAGTTCGGACTACCACTATCTAATGTAATATAAATTGATTTGAAATCCCTGAAAAAAATCAAAAAGATTCATTCGAATGCTTTCACCTATCCCCTCTCTCCGCTTTATTGGTTTTAGCGGGAGATGACCGTTTGGCGGGAGTTGGTTGTTTTTCACTTGATTAGAGGTATCCATATGTTACGTATCTCTACGTTAGATTGACTTATTGCGTTATTGGACAACATATATGCGGCTTCTTTGAATTTTCTCCTGAACCAATGTTCCTCTCTGTGCAAGATCTCAGCTTAGGACAACTCGATGTTGTGTTGATGGGTCCAAATATGGTCTGCTATTCCTGATTTGTTGGTTTCTCTTTGCTGTGTGTGCTTCTTGTGCTCGACAATGCGAACTTTCAATGGCATCGGCAATGCGAACTTTCAATGGCATCTGTGAAACTAAGAGGCCATTGAAAGTTCGCATTGCTGAGGAAAAGAAACACACACAGCAAGGAGAAACCAGCAAATCCGGAATAGCAGAGCATATTTGGACTCATCAACATAACATCAAGTGGGCTCAAGCTGAAATCATCCACAACGAGGAACAGTGGTTTAGGAGAAAATTTAAGGAAGCCGCGTATATGTTGTCCAACAACGCAAGCTAGCGTAGAGATACGTAGCATATGGAAACCTCTCATCAAGCGAAAAACGACCAACTCCCGCCAAACGGTCATCTCCCGCTAAAACCAATGAAGCGGAAAGAGGGAAGAGGGGATTGGTGAAAGCACTAGAATGACCTATAAATAGTCAGATCTTGGAGGAATAAGTCTAGTTATCACCCTAAGACGATTGCGCAAACTAACCATCGAAACGTCGTGACGTAACTTGGTTTGGAATTTTTTAATTTTTATTTTTCATTTTTTGTTCATAATATTTTGATTTTTTAATTTCAGCTTTCATTAATATTTCAATTTCTAGTTTTTTTGGTTATTGCTTGTATGTTATTCCTTTGTAATTTCAGTTTTTTGTTTAATAAAATTATTATTTTCGGTTAACTTTTTTATTTTGTTCCGGGATTTCAAATCAAATTTATATTATATTAGAACTGATGGAATACACCACGAAACATTGTCAACCACATTCAAACAAACAGATTTCATAGTGTTTCTTTGTTTCCGAATATTTTTATTTTCATTTCCTCTCATTTTTTATTGTTTATATCAGTGCTCATAGGAAAATATGATTTTCACTAGGTGATTTCTTCAATCATCCAATCCTCGGAGAAAATGTTATCTTTTTTAAATGACGAAATGTGTCCTTGTTTTGAGTATAAGTCAAGTATAAATCAAGTCAAGTATGAGTTTTTGAGTATAAGTCAATATTTTTTTAAACTTTCAGACCAACAAACCACATACACTTTAAAAAGTTAATGATTCTGGAGAAAACCACACACAAATCAGGCAGGTAGGTACTGGC